TGTTTCTGACTTACATTAAGTGAGTTGGCTGAGGACTATTTAAAGACTATGATTAAACAAGACGTGGTTTGAGATGTTGCATGACTCCACTGAATGGCAGGAAATTAATGGGGTGTTGGTTATTGACCACTCTCCTCTCTAAAACGCGCCTTGTAAACATTAAATGAGCCGAGGTGGCGCAGCAGTTAGAGTGCAGTACTGCAGGCCACTTTAGCTGACTGTGTTCAGCAGGTCAGCGGTTCAAATCTCACCGGCTCAAGGTTGATTCAGCCTTCCATCCTTCCGGGGTAGGTAAAATGAGGACCCAGATTGTTGGGGGCAATGTAAATATACATACATACATACATACATACATACATATATACATACATACATACATATATACATATACATATACATTGCTTACCGGTGTACACCGCTTAGAGAGTGCTCGCATTTAAAGCAGTATATAAGTCTCATAAATAAATAAATAAATAAATTAAATGTTTGGATAGGTTTGTTAATGGTTAGATGAGAGGTGGGGCAACTTATCAAAATTGTAGGTGAAATAGCTAATGTGTTAGGCGACAAAAATAAAATTCAGATGACTTTCTCTGGTTGAAAATAAAGGAAGGAAATTTAACAGAGACTCCAGGGCAGGTTTGACATTAGGAAAGAGATCAAACACAGAAAACAGAACAAAGAATACAGCTTAGTAACAGAAGTGAAAAAAAGTTCCTGCAGTTGTAATTGATTACACACAGGATATGAGACAAGAATTTGTTGTAGTTTTAAAAAAAAACCCTCTCAAATTTAACAATAGAAATTGTTTCCAAATCAGGCTATGTCAAATCTTCTCCACCCTTCAGTCAGAACTGAAGAAGCTTTTTGGATGAGAAGCGAAACATCTTCAAGCAAAACCAAGACTGTCCAGGCGCCTTTTGAAAAACAAAGCACCGTTGGGAGTTCAGGACTAAAGTCATTTTGTAGGAGAAGCCAAAAAGGTGTCCATGGTGGGCAAACAGGGGCTGGTTAGTAATCTCTTGGAGATGGCAGGATTTGAATTCCTGCAAGCAGCAGGATATTGGAGTCAATAGCCTGAAACTATTCCTTTCAAACTTGTGATTCCATCATTCTGTGATTCTCTGAATCAGCCCTTTAGTCTTGCAAGTCACATTCCAATCCTCAAGTCAGCGGGATGGGCTGTGATGTGGAGCTGGATTATCCCAGGTATGTGACCTGGAATCGGGCCATAATACAGGTGTGTGCAGAAATGTTACGTCTCCTTTTCACTGTTAGGAATCTAAAGAATCACTGTTGACATTAATGGGTTCTTTGAGTATTCTTTGAGGATATGGGATAGTGAGACATTGCTTTTGTCATGTCGTCAGAATTAGAATAGAATAGAATAGAATAGAATAGAATAGAATAGAATAGAATAGAATAGAATAGAATAGGGAATAGGGAATAGGGAATAGGGAATAGGGAATCAGAAGTAAGAATAGGATAGGATAGGATAGGATAGAATAGAATAGAATAGAATAGAATAGAATAGAATAGAATAGAATAGAATAGAATAGAATACAGAAGGAAAGGGAAGGAAGGAGGGGAGGAGAGAAGAGAAGAGAAGAGAAGAGAAGAGAAGAGAAGAGAAGAGAAGAGAAGAGAAGAGAAGAGAGGAAAGGAGAAGAGAGGAGAGAGAAGAGATTTTGGAGATCTATACCACGGCTTTTCAACCAGTGGTATGGGTACCATCTGTGGTATATTGGCACCTGGCAGGTGGTACGTGACCATCCTAGAAAAGTAGTGGGGGAGAGGAATGAGCTGAACCGGTGGCAGCACCGCACAAACCTGAGCGAGAGACGGCTGGAGCTGCAGGGCTGTCAGGGCTCAGAGGAAGAGCCAGGATCAGTACCGCTTTCCAGCTGATCAGCGCTTCGGGACTGTCAGGGCTCAGTGGAAGCACCAGGATCAGTGCCAGGCTCCAGCTGGAAAGCAGCGCTGATCCTGGTGCTTCTGCTGAGCGCAGAAGAAGCGCCGATCAGCTGGAAAGCAGCACTGATCCTGGTGTTTCTGCTGAGCCCAGAAGAAGCGCCGATCAGCTGGAATGTTGCAGCCTCTCCAGGGTCTTGTGATTTACATTCAGATGCTTGGCAACTGATTCATATTTATGACGGTCACAGTGTCCCAGGGTCATGTGAAGTGACCAAAACCTGCTGCAACCACCCAGCAGATGGGGGGAATAAAAACCAAACACTCCCCCACCACACCCCCGCTCCCAATCCTCAACAGAAATGCTCACAATGAAAACCTCAGACAGGAGGAAGAGCGCCGCCGGGCGGGCAGGCAGGTGTCTTGCTTGGCTGTGGCTTGAGGGGCACTTTTTTCAGTGCCATTGTAACATCGAACAATCACTAAGCGAACTGTTGTAAGTCAAGGACTACCTGTACTTTATAACTTTTTTACTTTCCTTTTTTTTTGTCATCAAGTTTTTGACACCTTGCTAGGTGACTGGTGGTACTCAGATGTTGCCATATCCTAAAAGCGGTACAATGGGTGAAAAGGTTGAAAAGCCCTGATCTATACCATCAGACAAATGGCTGTCCAGTCTCTTCTTAAAAACGTCCAGTGTTGGAGCATTCACAACTTCTGGAGGCAAGTTGTCCCACTGATTTGACACACTCACTCACTCACTCACACACACACACACACACACACACACACAGAAAACACACACACACCCCACCACCATCTTGGCATCTCTGACCTTAGATGTCCTCTTGGAGAAAGCACATTTCATGGGGACAAAGCAGACAAACAAGATGACTGGAGCATTATTTGTGATGTGGCAGGATTGCACCATTTTGTTTTGGAACTATCCTGTCTTTGAGGAAATGGAGCAGCAAAAAAAAAAAAAAAAACAAACAAACCAGCTAACAGTTTCTATTTTTTTTCTAAAACCTTTATTTACGTTGGCTTTGCTTTATTTGGTTAAAGCCTTTTATGAGCAAAGATCTCTCAGCATCCTTTTTTTTTTTTTTTACACAACACCAGCCAAAAGTTAAGTGAGGGTGAGTAGGGTACAATAAGGACATATCAGAAATACAAGGCTTTCGTTCAGTCACGGAGAAGAACTAAGGCAGACTTTTTTAGCCAGCCTCCATTCTGATGTGTCGGACTACAACTCCCAGAATTGCCAAGCATGGCGAACATCATGATGCTTCTCATCGTTTAGAGCTGGAGTGTCCAACCTGGCAACTTTAAGACTTGCAGACTTCAAATCCCAGAATTCCCCAGGCATTTGTGGGATTTGAAGTCTGCAAGTCTTTAAAGTTGCCAAAGTTGGACATGCTGGTTTAGAATCAAGCTACGCCTTCTGCTATGTGTCCCAAAAGGTGCTTTTCCCAAAGCTTCTCATCCAAAAGCTTCTTCAATTCTAGCTGAACTGAACTGAAGAAGCTTTTTGGGTGAGAAGTGAAATGTTTTCAAGGAACAAAAACTCAAGAAAGTCTTTTTAAAAAGCATCTTTGGGACAACCATGACCTGGATGATTGAGAATCTCCATAAACCAGGGGTAGGCAATCTTGGCTCTTTTATGACTCGTGGACGTCAACTCCCAGAATTCCTGAGCCAGCCACACTGAGGGGAAAGGGAGAGGTTTCCAAGCTGAGCCATGCTGGCTCAGGAATTCTGGGAGTTGAAGTCCACGAGTCATAAAAGAGCCAAGGTTGCCTAGCCCTGTCCTAAGTCCTCCTGTTCTAAGTGATAAGCCTCCTAGGCCAGGGGTAGGCAACCTTGGCTCTTTTATGACTGGTGGACTTCAACTCCCAGAATTCCTGAGCCAGCATGGCTCAGCTTGGAAACCTCTCTCTTTCCCCTCAGCATGGCTGGCTCAGGGATTCTGGGAGTTTAAGTCTGCCAGTCATAAAAGAGCCAAGATTGCCTACCCCTGCTAGACCTTCTGTTAAGTGATTATTTAGTAAAACTACTGATTATGTACTATCAAATCAGTGTTGATTCTTAGTAACTCTACAGATGTGATCTCCAGAAGGATCTGTCTCCTTCGTCTTCATCCTTCAGATCTTCCAATCCCTGCTGTAATCAAGTCCATCCACTTTGCAATTGGTCATCCTCTGTTTCTCTTTCTTTCCATCTTTGCCAGCTTTATGGACTTCTCAAGAGAGTCCGGTCTTTGCAAAGCAAATTATTTGGGTCTGGTCATTTATGCCTTGAGTGAGAAATCTAGATTGATTTGTTCTATAATATACTGGTTTTCTTCCATGGGATTCTCAAGAGTCTTCTCCAACACCAAAACTCAGAAGCGTAAAAGTAGAAAAATTAGCAGGATTTAATCTGGAGTCTTCTCAATGTCATCTGATCCACAAGAAGGCTTGCCTTTTACTTAAGAGCTGTAGGTTTGTGCAAATTGTGTAATGTCAGATTTGAATCATCCATTTGGGAAAACTGAACCGAATTGGGAAACACCACTCCTTTTGATATTCAAAGCGAAGCACCCAAAAGGGTTAATTGGGTAAGAAAGAAAAGCTGTTTCAATGCATATGCAGAAACATGCATTGCATATGCAGAAGGATCGTTGCACTGATGATGTTGCCTAGTTTGGTAATGAAACATTTGCAAGAAAACAAACAAGCTCAGAGAGCCTCAAGGATCCCACAAAACATCCCAAACTGAATTAATACAGAGTCATATTAAGTTCCCAATTCCCTAAACCCTTTGAATCAAATCTCCTAACTGAATATATCTGCTCAACCCTACACAATAGCCGAGGTTTACAAAGCAATCCTATTCCTTACAGAAGGGGGCAAAACACCATCCCTTTATACATTTTTCTACAGTACATTCTCTCCTGCACACTTATAAACACACACTCACACACACAGATTCTCTTGTACAAAACCTAAAGTTTGCCAAATTTTAACCAGGCTCCTCAACTGCAGATTTCACCCTTCCTCTTTTGTAAACGCTGTGAATGTGTGAATCACCAAGTTCCCATGTTCTTCTCTTTCTTTCTTTCTTTCTTTCTTTCTTTCTTTCTTTCTTTCTTTCTTTCTTTCTTTCTTTCTTTCTTTCTTTCTTTCTTTCTTTCTTTCTTTCTTTCTTTCTTTTGGAAGCAGGTTGGGATAAAATCCAGACACCTGGGTCACCATTCAGCAAACATACTTCCCCTCCCTATCTCAACAAACTAAATAAGGGCAGCTAACACAAGAATGAGGGAGAAGAAACCAAAATGAAAGGTGAGGCTGAGAGCTCCACTACCAGGTCTTTCTTTTCCTCCTGTGTTGCGCTCTGGCCTTTTAGGATCAGTGAGGAGTGAGCTGCTAGCATTCCTTGTAGCTTCTTCTTCTGCTCCAGATGAAGCCATCAGGTTCACTTTAGGTGGGTTTTGACACTCTGGGTGCTTGCACGGAGTCTTGGTTTTGGGATGGGAGGTACTAAGTGCTGCAACCAGGCCCATTCCGAGATTGGTGGTGGATTTGGACATGTTGGTGTTGAGATATGTTTGAATATTAGTATTATTAGCAAACAGGTTGGTATTTGCTGCTGAAGAAGCATTTGCTTTGGTCTTGTCTTCTACGATGAAAGAGCTGTTATCGATCGGAAGTATGGGAAGAACATGGCTGGCCAGACCATCTGAAGTGGCATTACGGCTGGCAGGGGTTGATACAGGAATACTATTATCAACAATGAAGCTTTCACCTCCAGTTGACCCATGGCCATGCTCTATGTTGGTGCTTTCTGAGGCATTAGTGGCAGGAGAATGAGGAAGTCCATGCTCCTCTACAGCTAAAACAGAAACGTTGTGTGTGTTTTCAGTGGAGGAGGAATAGGATCCTGATTCCTGATTGCTTCCTTCTCTGAGAAAGTTACCAGCACTGGGAGTGTCTTCAGCAGAGCTGGAGATGTTTACTGGATTTCCACTTCCATAAGGAGGGTGCCTGGAAGGAGAACTTTCACGATCCTTCTCCTTGGTGGCTATGAAGTGTCCCCCAGTGGCAAGGCACTCCCCTTCTGTCTCACATTTATCACTTGCGACGTCCTTATCATTACTATCAGCTGTCAAAACCTCTTTGGAGGGACTTGTCGTGATGGGGGAGGAAGTGGGAGGAGAGGTAGTCCTGTCTCTGTTGGGAACAATGAAAGGTATCAGTAGAGCAACACTTCCATGACTATCATAAGAAGTTGAATTGCGGGTCTCCAGGTTTGTTGTAGCTGAGGAACTGCCTGAAGAACCATGTTCGGGCTGCGAACCACCTGTAGAGGAAGATGATTCACTGCTTTCAGAAGAATTTCCAGAAACACTCTCCTCAAATGTTTTTCCACCTACTAAGATGTGGTCATGAGGGGATGATGGCCGGGCATTGCTCTCATTGACAAAATTCTCACTAACTTTCTTTTCATCCGCCATGTAGATGGTCTCCTTATCAGTGTGGTTTCTGGGAGATGGGACCTCACTGTTAGGAGGGTTCACCACCATGTTACCATCTTCCATCTCGTCTGAATAGAAACAATCAGATTTGGGAATGAGCTCAGCCGGCGTGAGGTTGAACACGGGACATTCTACATCCTCCATGTTTTCGGGGCTGTCGGCAGGGACTTTGGGTTCTGTGACCACACCATCTACAATGCGATTGTTGCAGAGATTCCCTTGGCAACAGATGATGTCAGCATCTTCCAGTTCTTGCACCAATTCCAAGAGAGAACTCTGGCACATGGCAGGGGAAGCACAGCCTTTGAAAGTCACCAAGCTCACCTCTTTTCCAGCTGCAAGAAGAGAAAAGGAGAGAAGGAGACAACATTAATCCAAGAGTTGATGAGACATGGGAGATGGGATGTGTCTCCATTCTGGAGTCACCAATTGTCTAAGGTCTAGTCCAGGGGTCTCCAAACATGGCAACATTAAGACTTGAGGACTTGTAATAGTAATAGTAGTAAAGTTGGAAGGGACCATGGAGGTCATCTAGTCCAACCCCCTGCTCAGGCACGAAACCCTACACCATTTCGGACAAATGGCTGTCCAGTCTCTTCTTAAAAACTTCCAGTGTTGGAGCATTTACTGCTTCTGGAGGCAGGCTGTTCCACTGGTTAATTGTTCTAACTGTCAGGAAGTTTCTCCTTAATTCCAGGTTGTTTCTCTTCTTGATTAGTTTCCATCCATTGCTTCTTGTCCTGCCTTTAGGTGCTTTTGAGAATAGCTTGACTCCCTCTTCTTTGGGGCAGCCCCTGAGATATTGGAACGCTGCTATCATGTCCCCCCTTGTCCTTCTCTTCATTAAACTAGACATACCCAATTCCAGCAACCGTTCCTTATATGTTTTAGCCTCCAGTCCCCTAATCATTTTTGTTGCTCTTCTCTGTACTCTTTCTAGAATCTCAAATCTTTTTTACATCGTGGTGACCAAAACTGGATGCATGGCTGGCTGGGGAATTTTGGGGGTTGAAGTCCACAAGTCTTAAAGTTGCCAAGTTTGAGACAGTCACCGACTGTCTAAGTTCTAGTCCAAGGGTCTCCAAGTTCTAGTCCAAGGGTCTCTTGGCCATATTAAGACTTGTGGACGTCTGGACTTCAACTCCCAGAATTCCTCAGCCAGCATGAAGTCCACAAGTCTTAAAGTTGCCAAGTTTGGAGACCCCTGTTCTAGTCCATCGTATGACCATCTAAACATGGAGCCTCTATGTTGTTGTTCTTTAAGCCAGACTAAAGAGGAAACACAAAAATTGTGGTTAGACTTGCCTCTCAGTCCCCAGTGATTCTGTGGCTAAATTGTCTGAGTGTAACCAGAATGTAGGGAATAGGTCCTGTTCCACCAACTGCTAGTATATAAGCAGTGGCAATTTCTCCCAGCTCATTACTGCCTTCTAGAGTCAGTGCTGAGCAGACTGCCCGGTCCCCAGACTGGATCTGTAGCTTTGCTTTCAGGTTTTCAGACTCCTCTTTTGCACAACGTGCTGGACCCAGTTCAGCTGGGCTTTTGGCCAAGATATGGAACAGAAACTGCTTTCATAACTCTGATGGATGACCTCTTCTGGGAAATGAGTGGGGGTGGAACGTGTGCAGTTTCTTCTCATTCTCCTGAGCCTTTAGGTCAGTTGTTACCAACCTTTTTAATGCCGCGACCCCCAACCGGTCGTAAGTCGAGGACTACTCAACCGGTTGTAAGTCGAGGACTACTCAACTGGTGCAGCACCGTTTGCAGAATGAGACTTTTGGCGGGCTCAGCAGGGCAGAGACAGCCTGGACAATTCCTATTGGCTTTTGAAAGCCAATAGAATTAGACTCTATTCAAGAGAGTCTATTCTATTGGCTTTCAAAAGCCAATAGAATAAAAGGGAGTAGCACAGCTAAGGAAAAGGGGGAAAAAATGGCGGATTGAGTTGTTTGTCGACCCCCGTGAAATGGTTGTTCGACCCCAAATGGATCCCGACCCACAGGTTGAGAACCACTGCTTTAGGTAATTGTGGATGCCATCACACCATTATATCCTTCTGCATGGTCTAGAATAATAGAATTAGGCTTGACGGTACCATGCTGCAGCAGTTCTTGTTTTTCTTATCTTCTTATTACTGCCTCTGGGTTGTTGATTTGTGATATCACACAGGGTACTACTACTCCACCCCCTCTCCATGCAACATCTGGGGATGGTCATCCAGAGCTTTGGGGTAAGGTAATACATGAGAATGCTGAGGCCATGTAGTTCTCCTGCTCCTTACCATCAAGTAATGGGCGTCTCTGAATGTATTGGATAACACTGGATGACGAGACACAAATTAAGATAAAATCCAGATCACCTACGTCTACTAGAATTTTGGGCTCAAGAACTAAGGTTCAGACTGGGGGACAGGACTCCTGAAAGAGCCAATCCAGGGACTATTATTCCATGATGCTCAGTTACATTAACCACCAAGACTTAGACCCAGTGCTTTTTTTTTTTTGTAAGAAAAAAGGTGCCGGAACTTGGAACTCACATCTTGTTTATCTTTTACTTAAAAATATATATATATTCAGTCCTTGACATAAATTTACCTTTTGCAAATAGTCAATCACTGTACACACACCCACACACATCAGTTGTGTAACAAAACATAACAGTCGCCACACCACATTAGCCAAGTCTCCAGTAGAGTAGGGCAATTTGTGGTTGCATTGGGGAACGTTGCCATTTTCTGGGCATGTTGAATCAGATATTTAGTTTCGGCTTGGACAAAACATGTTATGTGAGCGAGGATGCTATATTACTCCATCTTTAGCAGATTATATAAGCTGGGCAACTTTATATAACTTTACTTGGCAACTTTAAGACTTTTGGACTTATGACTCCCAGAATTCCCCAGCCAGCAACATTAAGACTTTTGGACTTATAACTCCCAGAATTCCCCAGCCAGCAACTTTAAGACTTTTGGACTTATAACTCCCAGAATTCCCTAGCCAGCGCGAAGTCCACAAATCTTAAAGTTGCCAAGTTTGGAGACTCCTGTTCTAGTCCATCTTATGACCATCTAAACGTGGATCATCTATTCCTGCCTGGCTAGGGAATTCTGGGAGTTGAAGTCCACAAGTCTTAAAGTTGCCAAGTTTGGAGAGCCCTGATAGAAGCCAAAGTGGAACGTTCTGAGATCAAACCCTCACCTTTACGGTTCTTGCCAATCCCTTCCAGGCACATGTTACGAACACCCGTGCACTTCACCTTGGAGATGGTCTTCCTGGAGCATCCGACATTGGAGTCCTGCCCATCCACACAGCTATAGCACTCCAATCCATTTTTTGGCTGACTTTCCAGGTGCAAGTCTGAAGGGGGGGGGGAGATGCAAAGTAGGAAACTTCTATGAACATTTGTGTGCCATGTTCAGGACCATGAACTTCAGGCTGTTCATGGAAACAGTCAAACCGGGAGGTACAGCATCACACAAATAAGATGTTTCAGAGACACTCTGAAGACCTACATAAGCTGCCCAGAATTCTCTTCCATGCATAGATTAGATGCAACCCATGCTACGTTTTGAAGCCTGGTCTGTTCAGGGATGAGTCCTATCCCATCTTTGCAAATTTCCTTCTTGCAATTGGTTGTTTGCAAAGGGAAATGAGGACACGAAGAGGAGGCCAATAAGACACCAGGCTAGAAAGTGTGTTCTCATCCCATCTTAGGCGTGAAAGCCAGCTGGGTGACTTTGGGCCAATCACCGGGACATTGAGGAATCTGGTAGGGCAAAAAAATCTCTGAAATAACAACCCAGTGGATCACAGGTCTCTAGTAAACCAATAAATGTATCCTGAAGCAACCCTTGGAGTTTGAAATGATGCAGTCCTAGACACCATGTGCAATCAAGCGGAGGAGGGGGAATTACCTGGAGTGAAGGTGTTGCAAAATGGAGTATTACAGCAGCTGGCGTGGATGGTCCGGCTTCCAGAGTGAAAGCTCAAGGTCTCCTCACACCGGGGGAGATTGGTGCAGCCTTTCAGCTTGAGATTGGAATATGGACCTATTAAGGAGGAAGTTTAATAGAGTGGTCCATTACTCCCACAACACTGAGGATCATCCCTCCTTCCTCACCATCTGCTCATCCGGAGACAGAGGACAACAGTTGAGTAAGGCATACTTCACAACTGGGAGGTCCTAAGTGATGGCCTTCCTGTCTGTTGAAGTGCCTTGGTGCATTCTATTCATCTTAATCCAGTCATTCGCCCCCATCTCTAATCTATCTACCTTTTTTTTCTTCCCTTTCCCATTTTTTTCCTTCGCTACTTACCCAACTTCCCAGTGATGTCAAGATCCACACATTGGTCCTGTTGCCCAACACAGCTGATCTGAGTGCGAGAAGCTTCAGGACACCAGGCTCCTTGGGAGGTACAGGTATGGCAGCGCATGTGATTGGTTGGGGCAGGAAAAGAGACTGGGGAGAGGCGCACAAGAGGGTAGAAATTAGCATGCATTTGAAAGGAAGCACATGGGCCCAATAAATCAGAGCCAACCCTGCTTAGTTTTCTGTAGTGGGATGTGCGAATGACCTTGGGGGACACAGGGAGGAGATGCTGGCTAGGAAACAATCAGATAAGAGAAGGAGAAACCCCCAGTGGCTTAATGGTCAGAGGAAGAAACAAAGGAAAGACCTGCCCTTATGGATCAAGCAATTAAAAAGTCTGAAGTACTTTCAGAAGTCAAGAACAAATTCTTCTTCCAATTCAGATGCCCCAAGTCTTGCAACAATACTGTTGTCCATCCCCACTCAACACAAAACATCAAAACAATTACAAAATGGAAATTAGAATATTTCGGACATGGGATGCGACATACGGCATACTCCATTTAATCCTCCAAGGAAAGATTGAAGGCAAACGAGGTCCAGGCAGAAGAAGAACATCATGGCTTCAAAACCTAAGGGACTGGTTTGGACAAAACTCAGCAGCACTTTTTCGTGCGGCTGCTGATAAAAACAGGATCGCCAACATGATCACCACCGTCCGATAACGGATATGGCACAAGGAGAAGAAGAACTCAACACAAAACAAAACAAAAAAAGGAAAAGGAAAGGAAAGCTAGTCATCTGGTTCTTGTCAATTTCATCTTTTTGCTTTTTTTCCTTAGAAACTACTAAGGCAGGGGTTCTCAACCTTGGCAACTTTAAGACTTGTGGACTTCAACTCCCAGAATTCCTCAGCCAGCAAAGCTGGCTAAGGAATTCTGGGAGTTGAAGTCCACAAGTCTTAAAGTTGCCAAGGTTGAGAACCCCTGTACTAAGGGGAGCTGCAAAGCTATGAAGTCATCATTCCCTTAGAAGACCCAAAGCTGGGAAGTTTGGAAAGACAAAGGGGAAGAGCTCCCTCTAATGGAGAAATGGAGCCACAGCCTCTTAAAAACAAAAATCCTTAAAGTGCAACTGAGTCACAAAGTAATCAGTTCTGTTCTTCAGCTGTGGGAACACAGAGCTGGAGCACCAATATCTGAAGTTGCTTTCGAGCTGGCAGAGGATCTCCGTGGAAGGCCAGCCAAGCTCAGCTCAAACTAATGTCTCATTTTTATACTTTCTATCCCCCAAGTCACAGTAAGGGAATAGAGTTAGGTTTTTTAGATAAGAAGAGCATAGGGCTCGGCGTTGCTTAGATGGACAACTGTACCGATTGAAATAATAATTAAAAAACAGTAACAATTAACATTTGCCTATCAAAGGTCCTTGGGAAGAAATTGAGATAATAAAAAATGCCAAATCCGCTCTAAATATCTGACTGACAGTCAACAAACCAATAAGAATAAATACTGCACAAAAAAGAAGGATGGCTAGGCAGACACCAAAGCTTTCATTCTATATATTAGTCTTTCATAGGCATCTTTTTGAGGCAAGGAGGGGACAAATGAGGATTAAGTGTCTTGCAACATCACCCTGCAGACTATGTGACTTACACACTTGAGACGCAAGTGGAAAAGCTGGAGGTTTGTTTTTATAACATCACAACACAGGTTGTCATTTGATTCTCATTGTGGTTGGTACCGGATCCCTGTGTAGCCTTTTCCAATTTAATGTTCCTTTTGCTGAATTTCAATCCCCAGAATTCCTGGTCAGCTCATTGAAAATTTGGGAAGTTGTACAGAAGTCCAGATGACCAGCTTGGTTTAGTGGTTAAAGCACCAGGCTAGAAATCAAGCGACTGTGAGTTCTAATCCTGCTTTAGGGGTGAAAGCTGGCTGGGTGACTTTGGCCCAATCACCAGGATGCGGTGAGTTCTAGTCCCGCCTTAGGATGAAAGCTGGCTGGGTGACTTTGGGCCAATCACCAGGAGACTGTGAGTTCTAGTCCCGCCTTAGGATGAAAGCTGGCTGGGTGACTTTGGGCCAATCACCAGGAGACAGTGAATTCTAGTCCCACCTTAGGCATGAAAGCTGGCTAGGTGACTTTGGGCCAATCACCAGGAGACTGTGAGTTCTAGTCCACCTTAGAATGAAAGCTGGCTGGGTGACTTTGGGCCAATCACCAGGAGACTGTGAGTTCTAGTCCTGCCTTAGGCATGAAAGGCAGCTGGGTGATTTTGGGCCATTCCCTCTCTCTAAGCCCACCCCACCCCACAGGGTTGTTGTTGTGGGGAAAATAGGAGGAGAAAGGAGATATATTCCATGTCTTGAGATTTGTAAAAATAATAAAGGTGGGATATAAATAAAAAATAGTGAATAAATGAGAATGATTTCTCAAGTCTCCTTAGTTTGCATAATCCCCCTTTTCCTGGGACTGTTGCACCCTTCAGAAGAGACATGTTTTGTGCAACATCCCCTGTCCTCCTTTTGCTGGGACGAGAGCCCTCCCTGGCCCAATTCAAAGAGGGGGTGTCCCCTCAGGACTCACCAAAAGAGGTCTCGTTGTTACAGCCATCCTCCGAACAAAAGTTTGCTTGGTACGACAGAGTCACGAGATGTGAAGTCAGGAAAAAAGAATCAAATGGATAGAGCTGCCGAGCGCAGCCTTTCCTCACGGTCTGGAATTCCAGAAAAGCTGGGGGGGGGGGAAGGAGGAGATGGAAATATTTTTTTTTTTAGGCTGGACAATCCATGACATGGTTAGGATGGACAAGACTTGGGAGACTGGAGGAGATATTCTCTAGATCAGTGGTTCTCAACCTTTTTAATGCCACGACCCCCAACCGGTCGTAAGTCGAGGACTACTCAACCGGTCGTAAGTCAAGGACTACTCAACTGGTGCAGCACCATTTGCAGAATGGGACTTTTGGCGGGCTCAGCAGGGCAGAGACACCTGGACAATTCCTATTGGCTTTTGAAAGCCAATAGAATTAAGACTCTATTCAAGAGAGTCTATTCTATTGGCTTTCAAAAGCCGATAGAATAAAAGGGAGTAGTACAGCTAAGGAAAAGGGGGGAAAAAATGGCGGACTGCGTTGTTTGGCGACCCCCGTGAAATGGGGTCCCGACCCACAGGTTGAGAACCACTGCTTTAGATATACTGTTTTTCCAATACTACCTGCTGCCTTCCCACAATATAATAATAATAATAATGATGATGATGATGATGATGATGATGATGATGATGGAAGGGACCTTGGAGGTCATCTAGTCCAACCCCCTGCTCAGGCAAGAAACCCTATACCATTTCAGACAAATGGCTGTCCAGTCTCTTCTTAAAAACTTCCAGTGTTGGAGCATTCACCACTTCTGGAGGCAGGTTGTTCCACTGGTTAATTGTTCTAACTGTCAGGAAGTTTCTCCTTAGTTCTACGTTGCTTCTCTCCTTGATTACTTTCCATCCGTTGCTTCTTGTCCTGCCTTCAGGCGCTTTGGAGAATAGCTTGACTCCCTCTTCTTTGGGGCAGCCCCTGAGATACTGGAACCCTGCTATCATGTCCCCCCTCGTCCTTCTCTTCATTAAACTAGACATCCCCAATTCCAGCAGCCGTTCCTTATATGCTTTAGCCTCTAGTGCCCTAACCAACAGAATTAGTTGGTTTTATTTTGACAGATAGACTCTCTTTTGAACTCTCTTCCTGTGTTTGGCTTTGGAGCAGGGTCAGGACTAGAAGACCTCCGAGGTCCGTTTCAGTTCTGTTATTCTGTATTCTATTCAGACTTCTGACTTAAAATTGCTGTACAAATAAAGGCGTCTGCTGGTCAGGTCAGCTGTCATGGAATAATCCAAGCTCTGCCTGTTTTGAAAACTGGGCAGAGCTTTATTTGTGCCATTATGGCTGCTGTCTTAATTTTTTGGACTGTACCCTACAGACAACGCTAAGGAGGAACGACACTTACAGACATGGGCCTTTCGGACTGATGTTGTGCAGCTGGCCGAGGAACCTTCACAGGCCATGCTTTCTCCAACACAATTGTATTCTCCATGGCATGTATTACACTGCAGGCAAAACACTGGGAAGAAAAGAAGAAAAATTAGTTATTGCACCTTTAAGACTAAGTAGTACTTTATTCCCTTAAGACCTGTGGATTTCAACTCCCGGAATTCCCCAGCCAGCCATGTGGACTGAGGAATTCTGGGAGTTGAAGTCCACAAGTCTTGAGGTGGCCAGAGTTGGACACCCCTGCCTTAAGATTTGTATAGTCCACCCAACTCACAGGATGCCCACATCCTTCACTGAAGGGAGAGGGAAGTTAGAAGCCTCTGTTATGCACTTATTTAAAACTATAAAGAAAGAAATAACATGGATTGGATAAGAAAGAACATGATAAATGCCGAGTATATTAGAAAAGTTCCATCTATTTTTAAATCTGTGCCCTGTGAACTGCGAGCCGCTAGACACTGAGACGGGTGAAACATCAATTTAATAAATAAAATGAAAAAAGAAATAAATTTTTTATGTCTAAAGGGACTAGTTTCTCATGCAGCATAAACCATGCAATGAAAGAAAACCCGGCTGCCATTAAAAGAACTTTAACCCCCAGTTTCAGGAGCCAGAAATGTGAAGCTGGGTTCATCTTTACTTTCGCCTTTTTTGATCTCTTCCGTATTCATCACTGGAGCTAATCATCCTGCCTCTGCAATTATGTGGCAGATACTATGGACTGAGGACACTGAGGACTAGAAACTTCCTGTTGAGAAGGGTGCTTTTAAATTGAAAGCCAGAGTTTTAAGAGTTTGGGGGGAGGGGTATGTGGAACCAAGAAGAAAGTCTGGTTTTCTGTGTAATTATTCTGCTTTCTTGTAAATTCCATGAGCTTGGAAGAGGAGGAAAGGAAGAAACTAAATGATGTTTACACGAAACATCATGTAAACATTTTGAAGGGTGGAGTTGTGTTGTGCTATTATCTACTTCAGGCAAGTGGAAACATGTCTCCTCCGCTTCACTATTAGGCTATTTTATTATTGCCAATTAACCTATCCCTGTTTAGCTAGTCCAGGAAACATATGAGACTGAATTGCATCTTGCAATAAACTGTTTATTGAATCATTTATTGAATAACTCATGATCGGCAGGGTGTCAATAACTTGCTAAGCTACCAACCAGTTTCTGCAATCTTGGGTTTATATCGTGCATTCATCCAAACTAATCAAGCCAGGTTACTGCAAGATGTTCGTCTAATCCAGGGATAGGCAACCTTGGCTCTTTTATGACTCCTGGACTTCAATTCCCAGAATTCCTGAGCCAGCCATGCTGAGGGGAAAGGGAGAGGTTTCCAAGCTGAGCCTTGCTGGCTCAGGAATTCTGGGAGTTGAAGTCCACAAGTCTTAGAGCTGCCAAGGTTGAGGACCCCTGATATAAGGCAGGGTGGGCAACCTTGGCTCTTTTATGACTCGTGGACTTCAACTCCCAGAATTCCTGAGCCAGCATGGGGGAAACTTTGGTCCCTTCATGACTTATGGACTTCAACTCCCAGAATTCCTGAGCCAGCCATGCTGAGGGGAAAGGGAGAGGTTTCCAAGCTGAGCCATGCTGACTCAGGAATTCTGGGAGTTGAAGTCCATGAGTCATAAAAGAGCCAAGGTTGCCTACCCCTGATCTAATCCTTTCCTTAAATGCAGAGAGGAGGCGACAAGGAAACCTCACAGAACTTGCTAACTCGTAAGCAAATAAAACATTGGAAGACTCAGCCTGAAGTGCAACTTAGTCAGTACAGGTAGTCCTCAACGTACGACAAATTTCTATTGCTAAGTGAGTTTTATGACCCCATTTTATGACTCTCCTTGCCACAGTGGTTAAGTGAATCACTACAGTTCTTAAGTTAGTAGCATGGTGGTTAAGTGAATCTGGCTTCCCCATGGACTTTGCTTGTCAGGAGATTACAAAACGTGATCACGTGACCCCGGGACACTGCAACAGTCATAAGTACATGCCAGTTGCCAAACATCCCAGTTTTGATCATGTGACCATGGGGATGCTGCAACCGTTGTAAAAGTGAAAAAGTCACTTTTCTGTACTTGTTAATTCCTGATGATGACCTGGATGTAACTGTCCCCATATGGATTCAGTTTTCCTATTCAGTGCTGACTACTAGCATGCAAATACAGGAAAACACTTCCATAAACAAAGTGTCATGGTTCCGACAGATGAAACTCTTCAAAGAACTTCCAGGCATTGTTTACCTTAAAGAAACTTTATTTGAGTAACATAGCATCGGCACTTACACAGTCGAAGACAAAAACTGGATTCCCCTCCCCTGAGCATATAGTATCAAAGCACAATTCCCTCCTCCAATTAACAGTCATAAATCACATTCTCCAATTAGTTTGAAATGCTGGCTTTCCCTCCAGTTCTCCAGCCCGCCAATTCTTATCATCTCTTATTTCATTAACCTTGGTTCTCACACCAAGTCCAGTATTGTTATGTCTATCTAAACTCTCATGCACATTCCTCCCCACCCAGCATCATCTAATTCTAAAAGTAAAACATAAGAAGAAAATGGTTGCATCTCTAACTGTTGTGAAAGCAAAACCATCCGATGTTAGCAGCGTTGACATCAAGCACATTTCCATTATAAGCAAGGAATGCTTTCTCATAGTACGTCCCACTGAATTCACTGAGGAATAACACAAACTAGGTTGAAATCTAATATACAATTATGCAGAAATAATCTCTGCTGAACATTGATGTCTGAACAGCCAGCAGTATAGCCGATTATTTTGAGTAGCATCAGAATGTTCTGTCTTTATTCAAGCTGCAATAAGCGTTCTGAAACTCAACCAGCTCTAGAAGCTGTTTAACTTTTTAAAAACCAGTTATTGGCTTTTGAAAAGGATTTTACAGATCAAGGTATTTAAACATTGCAACTACCCTGAATTAAAACACATTGAAACTGTTTATAAAGGAATATAATAACTGTCTCTTCTCTCAATCACTTTCCAGATGTTAATTTTGCAATATAGATGGGAAGAAGCCACTAAATTTATTTAATTTTACTGTTAAAAGATAAAGATAGGTTTTGTTTATTTGCAGGCTGGACATGGATCTGCCCACTGTTCGACAGGATATAGTTTAATATTCATGTTAATAATGTATATTAATATTGTTATAACATAATCTGTTTTCTTTCAAACCTGTCAGACTTGTTGCAGATATTCTTGCCTGATTATTATAGTTTGTACGTGCTCAATAATTGCCTGTTATTGCAACTGGATGCAAGCATTGGGGTTTATCATGCATCTTTTAAGTTTCCATAGATCATGGGTTGGCCATCATCAAGATGCAAAGTTCCATTAAACTTGTTGGTTTTGCTTTGGACAAAAAACTTTTACCAGGTTATATTTTCTGGTAAACTGAATTGGATTGCAATCTACACTAGGTGTTTTCAACTGAAATGTTCTCCAACAGTGGACTTCAGCCCTCAACATTCTGGAGCCAACTCAGCTACCACTGTGAATTGAAATCTGCATATGGAGGTTGGGAGAAAAAAATGACCTATATCCACGTCTTGGAGATTTTCAATCATCCAGATCATGTTGGTCCCAAAGATGCTTTTTCAAAATGCAATTGGACTTTGTTTTCCTTGAAGACGTTTCACTTTAGCAGTTCCAAGAAGGTTCCACACCCATTTGCACTATTCAGATGACTCTGAGGGCACAGATAAAGCTCCAGGTGGCCTCAACGACTCTCATAAAGAGTGCTAATGACCAGATGACTGCAAAGGAATATAAATCCTTCCATCCTCCACCATTCGGTCAGAACTGAAGAAGCTTCTTGGATGAGAAGCGAAACATCTTCAGGGTTGTCTTTTGAAAAAGTACCTTTGGGACCTATATCAACAATCTTACATTGTTGAAGATAAAGTCCCTTCTGAAGCAAGGCATTTAGTACTTCTAACACTCTGAATGTGTTAGAAAATAGAGCGGATGGGAAAGTTAGAGATGCTAGGAAAACGTAAAACCAATTCTAAGGCTCCTATAGCACAGAGCAGTTAAACGTAATCTAAGGAAGACCTTCAGAGCTTTGATGAAGAGAAAGTTCTCCAGAAGAAAGTGGCATACCATTTTCCCCCACCTAAGGCACAAATCCATCACAAAAGTAAAGATTCTTCCGTAAGGAAAAGAGCTAAAGAATTTCCAGGGAAAGTAGAATAATTCTGATAAGTTGAACCAAAGTAGAGTATTAAAGTTGTGAGGCGTCCTTGAATATCAACAAGTACCACCATAAAAGGAGTCTAAGAGACACCCATCTTGTTTTACCTTGGCCGAGGAGGTTGAGTAGCAATACCATTAACAGGTTCTTAGCCATCCTGTGATGCCTCTAGCTTCCCTCTTTGTATCCTGTTCCCTGGATGTGGCCAGCTGTCTGTCACTGCTTCTCATGCGCTTCTAAACGTTCCTGACTGAACCTTCCCTTCTATATGGACCTGCCCCAAACCAAAAACCTGTTTGGGTTTTTTATTGGTCTCAGGCTAAGATCCTCCTCTGTCCCAACGAGTGGGAAAGGACAGTTTCATGAAGGCCGTCTGGCACGTGAGCTGCCACCCCAGAGGATGCTCTGGAGAAGACCCGCCCGGTATCAGGATGAGTCACCGCTGGAGCTCCTGAAAGCATCCTGAAAGATAAATGGGAAGGTGAGCACATCAGGAATCCAACCCAGCGGGTTGGAATGAGAGGGACGGGAAAGAGAGGGAGGGAGAAGCACTCGCCAGGGGATGGGAGAATCAGAAAAAAGAGAAAGGAATGACCGAGTAAGGCTGGAAAAAAATGCTTCACCAAGTACAGGTAGTCCTTGATTTATGAACACTGCTGAGATCAGAATTTCCACTGCGAAGGGAGACTTATTAGGCAAGATCACCTGTTAAAGGAGAGGAAAGGAGAGGAAAAATGTATTCTAGCATGGAGACAGTGCAGGGAGGAAATGAAAGAGACCAGTCTGTTGAAGCATTTATTTGCTATTTTCCATCAATCATAATAGAGCTGGAAGGGATCTTGGAGGTCTTCTAGTCCAACCCCCTGCTCAAGCAGGAGACCCTATATCAGTGGTTCTCAACCTTTTTAATGCCGCGACCCCCAACCAATCGTAAGTCGAGGACTACTCAACCGGTCGTAAGTCGAGGACGACTCAACTGGTGCAGCACCATTTGCAGAATGGGACTTTTGGCGGGCTCAGCAGGGCTGAGACAGCCTGGACAATTCCTATTGGCTTTTGAAAGCCAATAGAATTAGACTCTATTCAAGAGAGTCTATTCTATTGGCTTTCAAAAACCAATAGAATAAAAGGGAGTAGCACAGCTAAGGAAAAGGGGGGGGAAAATGGCGGACTGCGTTGTTTGGTGACCCCCGTGAAATGGTCGCTCGACCCCAAATGGGGTCCTGACCCACAGGTGGAGAACCACTGGTCTATACCATTTCAGACAAGTGGCTGTCCAGTCTTTTCTTAAAAACCTCCAATGATGAAGCACCCACAACTTTTGGAGGCAAGCTTAATTGTTCTCCCTGTTAGGAAGTTTCTCCTTAATTCCAGGTTGCTTCTCTCCTTGGTTAGTTTCCATCCAGTGTTTCTTGTCCTGCCCTCTGGTGCTTTGGAAAATAAGCTGGCCCCCTCTTCTTTGTGCCAAGCTGCCAGATTTTGATCATGTGACCACAGCGACATTGCAGTGGTTGTAAATCTGAGGACCGGTCATTTTTTTTCAGTGCTGTTGTAACACTGAATGGTGGCTAAACGAATGGTTGTAAATTAAGGACTACCTGAATGTTTAGGTGGGTCCATTGCAAGCCAGCAACCTTATTCACATGATAAGCAAAGCTTGCATAGTTTTAATCTGGGGTTTGGGTTGACCTGATATCTTATGTAAACACGGGGTTAGTTTCTGGTTCAACGTGTTGAGCAACCCCCCAAAAAGGATACCAGTGTTGTATGTTGCAATGCAATACTCTTTCATCTCATCCTTTTTCCAAGTTCTCTGGACTAGCTAATGCTGGACAGCATCCCAACAACCTGGCACTTACATCACCGTAGTTCTTAAACCAGGCTGTGTAGCACTGTGTTGAAGGAAAAATCTTCATCATGGTTCAGTCCAAGCTGGGAATAAACAATATGGCAACTACTTTAGAAAGAAGGTTGCAGTTCGTTGAAGAGGAGAGCCAGACAGAAAGGTGGCTCTGGACGAAAAGAGAGCGAGCACATGTGGGGAGTGGGTTTTTATATCTTTTTGAGCCTTTTGTTTGGAGTTGTTCCTGTGGCATGAACTTTGATCTGAGTCTGAATGTGCCTTTCTGGTATTCTGATGGTGGTGGGTTAATCCTATTATATCCCAAAGGTCATATCCTGCTTCTCTGGGGCTGTGGCTGACTCTTAGATTTTTGGTGTGAGGGGTTGTTGATTCTAAGGGTTGCTGATCTTTCTTCCTAATCCCAGTTTCCTGACTCCAGTCTTTCTGACAAGATTATCACCTCTGCATTTCTGCAGACTTGGTATCTGTTGGGACAGGGAGACTTGGGGGTGGGGTTGGTTTCTGCTTTTAAAATCCTTTAGGGAAATATATTCTGCCTTTTAAATATTTCCAAAAATATTTCTTTCTCTTGGGGGGGGGGGCGGTATGACTTCCCACAAATGTGAATTCAAAAGTGTTAAGGGAAGTGTGTTGAAACACATGGAATACACACAGGGGATCAAACTCAACTCTGCCTCCCTTTTGTAAGCTGCTTAGAGTCGGTTTCATAGGGGCAGGAGAGAGTCCCTGATCCAAATAGATTCCTAAAACCAAACACAGCCATTTCCAGGAAGTTGTCGTAGCCCAGCCAGGTTTTGCAATCCGAGAAAAGATGTAGTTGCTTTAAGGAACTGCAGATAAGTGTGATATGAGCACCCCTGGGCACACCAAAGCACTTTTTTGCCTCTAGCTGGACAGTGCTGCACACCCTGTTGTGTGTTTACTACACATAAAGACTACTTTAAAGGTTTTGTTTGTGCAATTGCTTCTGTGAGCAGGGGTCATCCCTAAGTTAGGAGGCACCAGGAAATCTCTGGTTGCTTTCATGATGATTCAATTTCCACTTCTTTAATTGATGCCTCTGTTCAGGTGATGGACAGATAAAAACACAGTCTTGCTAGATAGGATTCCACAAGGACAGATGGGTTAGTCAGTTGCAGAAATAAAGTTTGATATCATCTTAAATCAGAGCCAGAGTTTAAAGCTAGAGTGGCTCACATTTGCATATAGTCCCATACTGCCTGGATCTCCTTCTGATTGTGATTCCTTCCAACCGATAGGACAAATGGTCTTCCATTTAGATATGTTTATCTTATCTGAGTTGCAAAACTCCAGGTAACCAATAGATGGCAGCAAAGATCCCTTTCTCCCAAGGGTACTTTTTCAAGAGGCAACTGGACTTTCTTGTTTTTCTTTGACGACCTTTCGTTTCTCATCCGTGAAGCTTCGTCAGCTGGGAATTCATGTCCCTGGGGTCATGTGTAAAATGGGTCAAAACTTGCTTAGCAACAGAAAGCTTGACTCAGTTGTGGTTGTACATCGAGGACTGCCTATAATTCAGTCACCAAGTGAAGGCAGCCGGTGTTGAAGTGAGAACTAAGGTCCCTTCCAAATTCTTGGGAGATTGTGTGTGTGTGGTCCAACCACTGGAACTTGTAGGCAAGTAGACAACCAGTCATCTGGAATTGGGTGGGCCTTTCTCATTAACACCAGGATGGGAATTAAGTTACATCTGTCTATCCACTAAAGAGAGATATTTTCTTGTCCCAAGATGAGTTCAGATTGGGTGCACTCTGACTTCTTCCTCCAGGCCATGGTTTTCCCAGTTGCAATGTATGGCTGTGAAAGTTGGACCATAAGAAAGGCTGAGCACCAAAGAATTGAGGCCTTTGAACTATGTTTTAGCTACGCACAGGAAGTGCTCCTTCCATCTTGCTTGTTCCATCCCTTGCTATATCATTAATACAGGTAGTTGCCAAGTTACGACCACAATGGAGCCCGGATATTTACATTGCTAAGTGAAACAGGTGTTAAGTGAGCTTTGCCTATTTTACGACTTTTCTGGCCCCCATTCTTAAATGAATCCCTGCCGTTGTTAAATTAGTAACCTGGTTGTTAAGTGCCTCTGGCTTCCCCATGGACTTTGCTTGGCAGGTCTCAAAAGCTGATCAGATGGCTCCGGGACACTGCAACCGTCGTAAATATGAACTGGTTGCTAAGCATCTAAATTTTACATGACCCTGAGGATGCTGCAACGGTCGCAAGGGTGAAAAAATGGTCCCAAGCCACTTTTTTCCCAGCGTCGTTGTAACTTTGAACAGTCACTAACTCAGTGGTTCTCAACCTTTTTAATGCTGCGACCCCCAACCGGTCGTAAGTCGAGGACTACTCAACCGGTCGTAAGTCGAGGACTACTCAACTGGTGCAGCACAGTTTGCAGAATGGGACTTTTGGTGGGCTCAGCAGAGCAGAGACAGCCTGGACAATTCCTATTGGCTTTTGAAAGCCAATAGAATTAGACTCTATTCAAGAGAGTCTATTCTATTGGCTTTCGAAAGCCAATAGAATAAAAGGAAGTAGCACAGCTAAGGAAAAGGGGAAAAAAATGGCAGACTGCGTTGTTTGGCGACCCCCGTGAAATGGTCGTTCGACCCCAAATGGGGTCCCGACCCACAGGTTGAGAACCACTGCACTAACTGAACTGTAGTAAGTCGAGGTCTATGGTGACCCAAATTCAGCACACTCGGCTCTGCTCCAAAGGGCATTTGTTATGTCTGAGAGTCAACAAGGGCTTTCTCGCCAAATCGTGGCCATGGAGGAGTTGGCCTTTGCGCAAAGTGGGTATTGGGATTGATGGAGTCAATCCGGAAACAATGCTAAGAGCCACCTGGAATCTTACATTGTCTCTTACGTGTCCAGGAATGAGAAAAGTCAATGCAGGAAGAAACGGCAACGTAATTCACAGCTGGGGAGGAGGCCAGGAAATGGATCAGATGTTTATTTATTTTTATTAGCCTCGCGCCATTAAATCAAGACGACATCCTAAATACCTAACCATCTTCTGCCAAATACATTGTGCTGAGCACAATGACGGGAAGAAAAGCGGCCGGTCAAGTTGGAAGGCTTCTGTTTATGAACTCCAAGGTCTTCTAATCCAACTCCCTGGTTCAAGAAGGAGGAAGCTTATACAGGTAGTCCTCGACTTACGACCTCAGTCGAGCCCAACATTTCTGTTGCTAAGTGAGACGTTGGTGATGTGAATTTTGTCCCATTTTGCGACCTTTCTTGCCACCGTTGTTCAGTGCCTCACTGCAGTTGTGGGAATTAGTAACACTGCAGTTGTGGGAATTAGTAACATTGACTTTGCTTGTCGGAATGTCACAAAAGCCACGACTGCAGGACACTGCAGCTGTCAGAGATATGAGTCAGTTGTCAAGTTAGTAA